GTCTTTTAAAAGTTCACATTAAATACACCTAAACTTTTAATTTCCATGTACTTTTAAAATTTTGACACTAATTCCTAATACAATAGAAGGCCTATTATTTATTTGACATTTGAAATTATTTGACATTTGGAATGATTTATTTGACATTTAAAATATCTCTACCGTTGCAAATCCAAGTGATCGAACCTATATTGTTCCATCGAGCCGAAAGGGAATGAAATATCAAACAAGACTCACCAAAGAAATAAGGCTCATTTTGTAAAGGCTTAAATACATTTTAAATATATTTTTGGGCTTTACAAAATTATTTTTTATTTTTCATCCTTGTAATATACTCCGTACAATGTTTCATTTTTATACTCCAAAACCACTTTTCTAAAAAAACTCCAAACAAACTATATTTTGGAAAAAAATATTTTCACTTTGCATAAATTTATTAGAAATTTTTTAATTTATTTAACCTTTTTAGACTAATATGAGAATTCAAACAATGTAAAACTAATCATTCAGATTTTAAAGATATGTATTGAAAACTTTCTATAAATAAAAACTACAGAATAATATGACAAAAATTAGAGGAATTCCAATAGCTAGAGTTGTTTCATCGTAAAACAAAGGTCGTCGTAAGATAACAAACACATTTAAACCTTTCGTAAAACAAAATTTGTAAAATTTCTGAGTTTTACCCCATTCGCTCACGTCAAAATCGAGCATTGACATAAAAATGAGTAACAAACATACCTAACTAAAATTGTTTTGTAAACCAGAAATGATAAACACTGAACAAAAAGCCCTCAGATCTCATAGCTTCTGAATCACAAGCGGCTGAAAACGGCGATTCATCACAAACCTGAAGCACACCACGCCGAAATCAACCACAGGTGCGCGTGTGTGATGAATCGTGTGAGTGAAAAGGTGGCGATGACGGTGCCGGATTTTTACTCCGGCGATGCGCAAAAGGTCGGAGATGAATCTTAAACCGTCAGCCGTTTCAATCACTTTACTTTTTCCATCATCGGGCAACCAAACAACAAGTAAATCACAAATATGTAAATAAATTTATATACGTAGTACATATCAGAGAAGATTTTGACAATTGAAATGTAAATGGCGTTCGTTTACGCAATTGTTGGCCTGGCGCGCTGCTGAATTATTACCTGCAACTCTAGGGCTTCATTTGTGCATGAATATAAAGATATCGTTAGTGGGCTTGGGCCATTTTGCTGCTCTATGATGGAAACATATCTGCTTACAATTTAAGGTCTCTTTATTATTTTTTTCATCTAAACAAACCGTTTATATTAATATTCGTTACAATAAACTCAAAAATACCAACTCTGACAATAATTATCCCTAATCAATTAGCATTATCAACCTTACGACTACATTCAGAATAATACGAATCGTTAACCACCAAACGAGTGTGACACTGCAATTACTGACGATATATATCTTTCTAAAGACATAACATCTAGCAGGATTGTCAATCATAATTATAGACTTAAAACTAAAGACATCAATAAAAAACATAGCAACAAAAAACATAAAGCGAAAATAAAACCATAAAAAAATTAAATAACTAATAAATCTTACAAGGGAAAAATAATTAAAATACTCCAAACTTTGAAGGGGTGTGAGATAAACATAATTAAAAACTTTCATATGTAATTTAAATAACCCAAACTTTATATAAAAATTTATTTTAACGCCATGGTTATGTATTATTTCTTTCAAAAATGTAAATTTATGGTGTTAAATGCATAATTTAAAATATTGAATTGAAAACATTAGAATTATATATAGTGGTGGGTAATACTATTTATTTTGCAATGGAAGCTTAGAATGTTAATTGTATCTTTATGGATGCTAAAAATTATCAAATTATGAAGTAAACATAAAAAATTAATATTTTTGAAAGAAATAATACATGACCATGGTGCTAATATAACTTTTTACATAAAATTTGGGGCATTTAAATTACATATGCAAATTTGGGATGCTTATCTGACATACACTTCATCAAAGTTTGAGGTATTTTAATTATATTTCTCATCTTCCAAACCTTAGCACCTCGATCGCTCCAAGGCGGCGGTTCAGGAGGGGGGCCGGAACTACCGATCTGTTTCTCCCTTGCTCAGTCATTCACATCTTCCCGTCTTTTCGTCATCTGTTCCGCCTCCACTACAACCACTGTCCTCTACCCATGTTGATTCGTCAGAAACTAGCCCTTCGACCTCCTCCTCGATTGCAGGAATGAGACAACGCTGCTATAAATCATCCATAAAGGACATGGTTATCGTTTCTTGAACCTTGGATTTGTTTCCACAACATGCAGCCGCACTCACATCTCCTTTAAGATTGACTTGCACAAGTTGAGAAAAGAGATCAGAAAACAAAGATGGAATCTTGTTGCTACTTCGAGATCGAATGGATAATTTGAAAATCGCCTAAATCTCAAAATTGGAACCAACAATCTAAATTTAAAACGCACTTTAGATGCCTAGAGAAGAAGAGGCGCACAAAAAAATGGCGGAAGGAAACCCTACGTGACGGCAAAGTCGTTAGGGAGACAAAACCCTACGCGACACTAAGCCGCCAGGGAGAAGCTGCGCTTTAAGGTCGGTTTATTGTGATGTATAGTAAACATCGGCATGTCAAGTGTGAGGATGTAAGCAATTTAAACTGTTTTATTTATTTATTTAATATAAATTGTATAAAACTTTTTTAAAAGAGATATTTTCAAAAATATTACTAAAATATACAACGTATTTACATAAATATAACTAATAGTTACTACAATGTAGTGTTATGGTAGCTTAAGATTAAAAATTAAACATAAGTTACTATGATTTCATTACCACTTTACTCATAAGTCACATTTTTGTAAGTAGTCTTTGTTTTAGTTGTACTATGTAAAATAGAGTTTAATAAACTAGTTTAGGATTTCCGCCTAGACTTTGAAAGAGCTCGTCCTTGAGCATTTACTTGCCAAAATCAATTACTATTTCAACCTACACTAAAGTTTTGTGGCAAATCTGTCAAGAGCGGCCAATTTTCATTGTTCATCATTTGCAAAGTTGATTCAACTTTGCTCTTTGAAGACCTCTCCGTCCGCCTGAACCACTTCGGGAAGAAAGATAGCGCACAACTAGATCTCTTTTTTCAGTAAGTGGTTGAATCAATGATTTAGAAAAATTCTGCTCGGTGAAGATTCCTTTGTTGGTTGTTGCTGAAATCAATACTCCATTTCCGGTGGTTGATAAAGTTAGACTTTTTTTTTGAAAATATTATTTTTTTCTTTGGAGTCGCAAATGTAACAAGATTATTAGATTAGACTACGTTATTGTGAGGTTAGCAATCTGGAAGGATCCGCATGATCTTTTCCGTTCTATATCTCATTTCATTATAACATTTCACTTGTTTCTTTGTTGTCATTTGAATAAATTAGTTATTTGATTTGAAAAAAAATATTACCCAACTTTTAAACCTACTTTTTTTATTTTCCACGCACAATTTTTCATAATCTGACAATCTAAATAAGTAAGGTTGAACTTAGTTTTTTTGTTAAATTGGCTGAAATTACTTTAGATGGTCATTTTAGCTATTTGTCATATGATTTTTTTTATATATTTTATGAATACAATTTATTTTAATAATTCCGACACCATCGACCTAGCGAGAAATTTTCCCGGCGAAGGGCGTGCGTTTAGGCGGTATTTCGGTGATATGGCGGCAACAATCCTCCACCCTCTGAGGGTATGTTTTCCAATTACAAATGAAAAATCATATTTATTAAATTTTAAATTACTTGACCATGTTTTTGAAAAATAAATGTGTTTTAATCGACATTCGCCTTTTCATGATAATTTTTCCTGCTATTGTCCTAGTAAAATAATTATGCAATCATGTTCTCTCATTTCACATTAGAGAGATATATACATATAACATTTTTTTACATTTCTAATTAATTACAGATACAAATGATACTCCCTCCGTCCCGAAATTATCTTCATTCTTTCCTTTTCGGTCCGTCCCCAATTTATCTCCTCTTTCCTTTTGTGATAAAGAATATGTGGTTCATAATCATCCCTACACATTTCTCTCTCCTCTGCACAACTCTCCACCACACAAATCCCACTATCTTAATCTCCGTGCCCAGTCAAAACCGAAGTTAATTATGGGACGGAGGGAGTACAATTATATCATTTATTTATTTTCAAAAAGAAATTGTATCATTTGTTTTGTGCGCTAAATAGTGTAATAATCAAAACAACTGAAATTATTTTCTGATTGTGAGAACCATTTTAGATTTTATTCTAATACAGTTTCCCAATTTCATTGGTAATACATAATTTGATTTAAATTAATTCATAATTAAGCGAATTCAAACAATTTTATTTTCTCACAACTTGAAGTCTTGAACACATACAACTCATTCAAAATAATTCATAATTTTAGTTATTTTATTCTTCAAAAAAAGATGACACTCCATCCCTGAGAACGCCCAACCCCGGCACTTGCAGAGGTCATACACATATTTTAAGGCATATTTTATGCCAGATTGGACTATAATCCAATTTGGTAGTAACCTCTCGAGACCCTATGCATATTTTAAGGCATATTTTATGCCATATTGGACTATAATCCAATCTGGCAGTAACCTCTCGAGGCTCTACGCATATTTTAAGGCATATTTTATGTCAGATTGGACTATAATCCAATCTGACAGCAACCTCTCATCGCAGTTGTCGGGATTCGAACGCGTGATCTAACCTTTATGGCGCTCTCTTGGTATCGGTTGAACTAGGTCCACCTGTAGTTATTTTATACTTCGTAGTTACCAAAAGATCTCTGATTACTATAATTAGTACACATGGACCACAAGAAGTTGAAAAGTAATCTTGTTATCAGAAAATCCTCTAACCAAATTTGTCAAAAATTGACAGTGAGTGATATTTATGCACGCAAGTAGCAAGTCAAATGGCACACTTCATGCTGTTCCCTGTTAGTTCAGCTAAGTGGAGGTTGAAGATGAGTAAGGTCTTAACCAGGCAATTAGTGGTTGTGTTTGGACTAATGCTGCAATTAACACAGTGCCCAAATAGCTAAACCTCCGGGCCCCACTCCCAGCGAGTGCACCAACAACCAGCAGAGCCACGTCACGCTTCCCACATGCCAGCTTCCATATCCTTCACCTGCTACCCAATCACCTCTCTTCACTTTACCAGCATTATTCCATCTCTCTCTCAACAGAAATTGCAGGAAAGAAAGAAGATGGCTTCGTATTTGCGGAAGAAGCTCCAGAGTGCATTTGGGTCCGTCGATGAGAAGGGGAAGAAGGAGGTTAAGGCTTTGGGGCCTCCTCCGGAAACCGCCGATGAGATTCCATATTCCCAAAGCGTCTTGGAAACCAGTCAACATGATGATGATGATGATGATGATTGGAGCGGAATGGAAGAGATAGAGCGCAGCAAAATCGGAATCGTTAGAGCTCTTCTCCAGAAAGAAGACCCTTCCCCTAAGGTCAACCCTTTTATTTTTTCATATCAGTTGTCTTGTTTACAGATCATAACTTCTCATTCCATGGAGAAAATTGAGGCATTAGTGTAGTTAACCGAGATTTTCTGGTCAGGCCAGGGGGGAAATTGCATAATACGGAGTATGTTTTTTTTAAAATTTTGCACGTTTTTTTACATAATTTTTTGGTTTTACTAAAATATGGGGTGGCCCCAGATCCGGGTTGGCCCCTTTACTTGCACGCCCATGAGTTAGAGTTACTCGAGTGGCTAATTGTATTGAAAAAGTGAGAAAGAAGAGGAATGCTGAAAAAGTTAGCCATGAATCATGAATGGATGAAAAAGTATGTTTTTATATCTTTTGATAAGATCGTATTCACCAAAGATGAAAAGTAGAACAAATAATAATGAATCAAATTAGACAAGAAAATGTTAATGGATTTAGTATAAACTAAACACAAACCAGCATGGCAATGGATTAGTACTTTGTATCTTTTATTAACTAACTTATCCAATTAAATAACTGTTTTTGTAGAAAAATATTGGTTTCATCAATGCCAGTGCAGGCACCTTTTCCATGTCTTCGGCTCTGAATTTTTAGGTATAAAAACTAACAAGCAGATGTGAAGTAACTCTGAGGATCAAATTGACCATTTCGCTGTTTTCATTTATTGGATGGTGACATGTTGAGCTAAGTACTTTTAGTAAGAGCGAAGCTATTTAGAATCCGATGGAGTAATCTTTAATGAGCTTTAGAGTTTGTGTGAAGAATTTCAGGTTGAGAGTGTGAGGGATAAGATACTAACCAGAAGGGATTAAAGTCAAGTTCAAAAGCCTGATCAGGCTTTGGTATTTATAATGAAGTGTAGGACGATGTAGATGACTTGATGATCCGTAGATTTTTACGAGCTCGGGATCTCGATGTTGAAAAGGCTGCCGCAATGCTTCTCAAGTACCTCACATGGAGGAGAGACTTTGTGCCCAAAGGCTTCATATCACCATCTGAAATTCAAAATGACATTGCCCAAAACAAGTTGTTCATGCAAGGGAAGGACAAGCACGGCCGCCCTCTAGTTGTTGTCTTTGGTGGCCGTCATAAGCAAACAAATGTGGAGGACTTTAAACGTATGCAATGCTTCTTATTCTTCATATATTATTTTGATGTCTTTTGAATTCTCATACAACAAAGCATTACCCAAGATATCAGCTTAGATATGATGTATTGAGTTCCTACTTTTATAAGATTGGGCTGAATGAGCTCTTAGGTTTAAATTCAAGTTTAAACAAGCAGGCGATACGTTGATACAATTATTAAAAAATCATATAAAAAATGATTTGAATCCCGTCATCTTGCTGAACATACCAAGATATCCAATACCAGTTAAATATAAAGATAAAAACTCATATATAAATCTTTTGACCGCATACTCCTGAGTCCTGACTGAGTTCTTCTTTTATGTTTATGAATTATGATGGCAGGGTATGTCACTTTTACACTTGACAAAATAGCCTCGAGGTACCATTGCCTTTCTTCCCATTTACATCTGACCATCTAAGTATAAAGTTTACTCTATTCTGGAATTCTGAATCTTTTTCCTTCGTTTCTCATAGAATGCCAGAAGGACAGGAGAAGTTTGTGAGCATAGCAGACCTTGATGGATGGGGATATGCCAATAGTGATATACGTGGATACTTGGCGGCTCTGTCAATTCTGCAGGTTGGCCTTTCCATTGTATAGTCCCTTGTTGAAAGTCAAAGGCGTATGGAGACTTTTTTGCTGGTTGGCTTCTCACTGTGAATGTTTTGCAGGATTTCTATCCTGAGAGGCTGGGGAAGTTATTTCTAGTTCATGTACCTTACATATTTATGACTGCATGGAAGGTCGTTTACCCCTTTATTGATAGCAGAACAAAGAAAAAGGCAAGACTTCTGTTACTTATCATTGTGGTATATATTTTCAACTTTTTCCATTTTTAGTTCTCTCACGGTTGTGCGGACACTTTAATACCCGTCTTTGAATTTCTACACTTTGAGCCTTCCAACCTTTTTTATAACCCGGTAGGATTTGAGTCTTCAACCATTATCATGTACTCCACATCGTCTTACCATGTATAACCACCAGGTACCAAGGTACGAAGCGATGTGTAATGCTTAAATATCTTTTAATTCAGTTTGTTCTTATGTTTATGCAGATCATTTTTGTCGAAAACAAGAAAATGAAATCAACCCTTCTTCACGACATTGATGAAAACCAACTTCCAGAAGTATTTGGCGGCAAACTAGCGCTAGTTCCTATTCAAGACAGCTGAACATGGAGATGCACAACGTGTGGTCCTTAAGTCTCTTTTATTGTACTAATTGCATGATTGATGATCGGTGGCACACCTGATTTGCCAGTTTATTTAACAACTATATTTGTTGATACCTATGCTATAGCAACATAAATATATATACCTAATACTTGGTATTGGTGGCTGTTGCCAATATGGAGTCATAAATATATATACCTAATACTTGGCATTGTCACAAACTCACAATCAAATAAACATGTGGACCATTACAGTATTAAACACTTCTCTCTGCTATTGCCAAAATAAACAACCCTCTCTTAAGCAGAATTGGCCATTTCATAAAGAGACCGTGTTCACCGCCAGAATTGACCTTCAATTATTTTCTGTCATTCGTACGAATTGGAACCCGTTTGGTAGCCAAGAGCAACATAGGTCTGTTTGCAATAGCTAAAAAAAGCAATTCTAGCTTGACTTAAAAAAGTTAAAATTAGTGTTTTCAAGTGACAACTTTTACTTAGAAAAGCGTTTCTCGACTTTTGGGTGAAAAGTGATTTTTACTTTTTATATTATAGAAAAAACACTTATTTTACCAAACACGTTTATTTTTCAAAATCATTTTTTTCTCAAACACTATCAACTTTACTACTAATCACTTCAAAAAATGTTTTTTATAAACAAAAACATTTGCAATAGGGTTGGACTCGGGTCCGGGCCGGGTCCGGGTCGGGCCTAGGCCCGGGCGGGCCGGCGGGTCAGAAATGGTGGACCCGGGACCGGCCCGGGTAACCACCGGGTCCGGGCCCATTATAATTTTTTTTTGTTTTCCTCTTCCTAAGTAACCCCCCTCCCACCCCCAACCCCCAAACCACCCCAAATGGCCCAAAATACCCAGCCCAACCCAAAACTTTAAAAAAAATTGCAAAAAAAAAAAAAATTGTTTTTGGCCCGAACCGGGCCCGGGCCCGGCCGGGTCGGGCCTTGTTTTGGGTGACCCGAGCCCGGACCGGAAAACCCACGGGCTGGGCCTACCCGGACCGGTCACTGACCGGGCCACCGGGTCGGGCCGGGCCGGAACAGTACCGGTCCCGGGCCGGTTCCGGGTCGGGCCACCCGGTCCGAGTCCATACCTAATTTGCAAACACTCCCTTAGTTGGCTTATCAATAAAAGAAGGGGAAAATAATTAAAATACCCCACACTTTGAAGGGGTGTGAGATAAACACCTCAAACTTGCATATATAATTTAAATACCCCAAACTTTATATAAAAAATTATTTTAGCAACATGGTTAAATTTGTATTATTTCTTTCAAAAATATTAATTTTTGGTGTTTATTTCATAATTTGATAATTTTTAGCACTCATAAAGATACAATTAACATTATAAACTTCCATGGTAAAATAAATAGTATTTCCCACCACTATATATAATTCTAATGTTTTCAATTTGCTATTTTAAATTATGCATTTAACAACATAAATTTACATTTTTGAAAGAAATCATACATAATCATGGTGTTAAAATAACTTTTTAAATAAAGTTTGAGGTATTTAAATTACATATGAAAGTTCGGGATGTTTATCCCACACCCCTTAAAAGTTTGGGATATTTAAATTATTTTCCCCATAATGAATCACAAATATTATTGTGTTTTGGTAATGTTTATTTGGCTGAAGATAACGCAATAGAAAATTGGTTTTTTACCAAGTCACACATAACTACACACTAGTACACTACAGTCTACACAAGTCAAAGGCCACTTATTCTGCTAATAAACATAAAATGAGCTGAATTAGCCGATTAAGATACAGAATGGGGCAATAGTACGTTTTGACTTTCTTATCTGACTAAAATGAATTCTCTTAAAAATCAATAAACTCAACCATTATCAATCAAATAATCTTTACCAGACATGCTCTTAATTTCACTGAAGAGCGTGGAGTGGTGGACCATGTATTAGCGAAGCTACAATCCTAAAGGAAGCACAAAGTTCACCAAAATACAAATCCCTTGACATATTTTTTTTCTCTATTATACGTTCAAGTGTTCAGCTCATGTTTTAAGGTCCAACCAAGGGTAAACGTGTAAGGAACCAATTACAAATTCGATTGAGGAACATGAAATTTATATTATTCACTGTTCTAGCCAAGTATATCAAATTATTACAACCCTGCAACAAAAATCTTAAGAATTTAGCAAATCGATAGCTGCATTATTCAAAACAGCGTGCAAATGTTCAAAACTAGTGTATAAATGCGTCCCAAATCCAAAGTACTGAGCTTTTTTAGGGAAAGAAATAAGAAAGTCAAGAAAAGTATTCGTCAAGATCAAACAACCTACGCTCAAGCAGCTTTCATTGTCTTGTGTGAGGACATGCATAAATTTTCTTTTCATCAACCAATAAGCAACTTGCTCTCCTCCAAGAAAGAGTAAGTAGGCACCTCAAGGTTGTACGGCGCAGGTCCTTTGCGAATCCTGCCAGAGACATCGTAATGAGAACCATGGCATGGGCAGAACCAACCACCAAAGTCTCCTGCATTCGGTAATGGTATGCACCCAAGATGTGTGCAAACCCCAATTACGACAAGCCATTCAGGATTCTTAACCCTCTCAGCGTCTTGCTGTGGGTCCCGTAGTGAACCAACATCAACAGTGTTTGCAGTTTTAATATCATCCTCAGTCCGACGTCTGATGAAAACAGGCTTCCCACGCCACTTGACTGTTACAGTTGTCCCCGGTTCAATACTCGACAGATCAACCTCAATGGATGCAAGGGCAAGGACATCCTTACTAGCAGACATGCTCAGAACAAATTTGAGCACCAAGAGGCGAACCAATGAGGCATAAACAAACCTGCCACCTGTCAGGACAAAGTAAGCAAAAGCACGCTTGCTTGGGTCACCGGGTGGAAAGCGCTCATGATTGCACTCATCGTAGACAATTTTAGAGGTGGGATTCTTTATCGCAGCCAATGTTGGTGGAAGATCTGAAGAACCGTCTTTTGCAGGGGTTAGAGAAGCAGAAGCAAACCCTGAAGCAGTAGCACAGCGTAAAAAACAATTACACAATCCAAATAATTGGCACACCGCACACCCTACATAACTTTATTGCAAGCTTCTACTGCACATTTGAATTCAATTAAAAAACACTGGACAAAGTGATATGGTAAGGTGTGTAACTCCATCATCATCATCACCATCATATAACATGTGTAACTGAGAAAAGAAATTGTTTGTAACAAGGACAATATGATATTGGATTTCCATTCATTTATCTTATCTTTCAGAGCCTTCTTAGTAAACCTCTTTTTCGTCTTATCAACCGATTTTTACACCAATTACTAACTTACTTCACCATGTTGGCTAAATTGACTGATAATGAAAAAGGTACCCCATGAGTTACTCTTTGGCTGAAAGGAATTACATATAATAAAATGACATTTTTAAGCTCACTTCAGATATTATTTCCCTTAACTTATTTTAGAAATAATTTTGGAATGAATTTTTTAGGCAGTTCAGCAGATTTTCACAAACAATCGCCATTAATGAATATTCATGATTTCATTCACTTTACCTATTTGAGGCACCAAAACGGGTTCTTAATGTCCATAATTCCAGGTTAACTTTCCCAGCTATTTGTCTGCTCTTGTACTGATGTATGGCAAAGACATAATTGGTAGTTAAATTGTTGAAATGTTTCATTTTTTCCTAAGTAAATGTCAAAAAAAATCTTTTTGACTCCAAAATCATGTATCGGTTCATGTTAGCCGATTAAGGCTTGTATATTGTTTGTAATTGTCAAAAAATGTCATATGGGGGTAATTGATACAGAGTACTTGAACAGGTTTCGTTTTACTAATGTAATCATCAAGTAAAGATAAAAACCTTAGGAAAAAATGTCAAATTAGCCCTCGAAGTATACCAAAAAAGTCAATTAGGCCCTCCAACTAAAACAACACCCAATTAAGTTCGTGAATTATATAAAAACAACCAACTTTCTAATCTATTCGGTTAATTCCAGGTCAACCGGTCACTCCACTGACGTGGCAGTGCACATGTCAATTTTTACCTTTTCCCTTTTTTCTTTCATTTTCCCTCTCTTTCCCTCTTTCCTTTCTTCCGGCTCACTTTTCCTTTCTTTTTTATTCTTTGGCCCCACCTCCATTTCTCCCCTCCCATTTCTTTCTCACATCTCTTCTTCCCACTGCAGACATTCTTCCCCAGTTCGTTTTTCTTTGGCCCCAATCTATCCCTCATTTCTGTTCTTCTTCCAATTGAGCAACCCAGTGACAAAGGGAACCTAAATCCAGAGATGGCGAGGCGGGCAGTTTGGGCAGCGGGCCTCTTCAGCTCCTCCGGCGACGTTTTGCTGCCGGCTTCACTTTCTCCATAAGCTTGGATCACTTCAGCCCACCGGGTTGACCCACTTTAGAGCTTTGTTGAAGTCGACGGTGAATAAGGAATGCTCCGGCGGCCTAAAGAAGAAGAAGACAGAATGGGTATGGGAGAGTGCGGCAGGCTGAAGAAGAAGAAGAAGAAGAAGGGAGGGGGTGAGTGGGGCAGGCTGAAGAAGAAGAGCAAAAGACAGAGGGTGGGGGTGGGGAGGACTGAAGAAGAAGGAGGGAGGGGAGGGGTGGGAAGAGCTGGGCTGAAGAAGAAGTAAGATTGAAGGGGGTGGGCTTGGCTGAAAATGACGATGAAAGAAAGGGGTAGAGGAGGGGAGGGGTGCGCGAAAAAGATGCAGAACAAATTAAAAAAAAAAGGTTGTCCCTGTGGTTGTCAAAGAAAGGAGCAGGGAAAAATAAAAAGAAAAAAGAAAGAAAAAGAAAAAACATTCAAATATGCCAGCTGGACTGCTACATCAGTACTGACAATACCTGGAATCAACCGGCTAAATTAGAAATTCGACAGTTTTTATATTGTTCGTGGACTTAATTGAGTTTTTATTTAGTTGGAGGGCCTAATTGAAATTTTTGGTATACTTCAAGGGCCGATTTGACAGTTTTCCCAAAACCTTATCTTTTATCGGTCTTATCTATCTTTTCTTTATACTCCGATATCATGTATTGGTTCATGTTAGCCAGCCTCAAAATCTTTTGGGACTAAGGCTTGAATGTTGTTTGTAATTGTAAAAAAAATGTCATATGTGGGAATTTGATAGGGAGTACTTGACAGGGTTTCCTTTTTCTTAATGTAATCATCAAGTAAAGATTAAAAACCCTACTGTGTGTACGATCTACAATTCTACATAGCTGACTAGCATTAAAAACCCTAATGCACAGCCTCTTCACACAAGATAAGTGAGTAACTTGCAAGATTTG